TGATTCATAGTGGTTTCCCATGAATTCTCCTCAAACTGAAAATACTGAAGTATTTTCAAACCAAGGACACTGGTTTTGATTGAAGACATCAAATGACCGGAGACTAGGACTCAGGGGCCCCTGGATAATGACGCTAACTGTGGTGGCGGTGACACTAGCATCAGGGTTCTGACATTCTTGTTTGAAGTCTTCACTTGTTCTCTGAAGGATTTTGGTAAGCTATCCACGGCATATAAGATGGACATGAAAATTTTTCAGTAAACAAAAACCAACAGAGAGCAAGGAAGTGATCCTAGACAGAAGGAAAGTGTCAACACACTGCTTGCTGTTTTGGTGCAGGTTCCTGCGCATCCTTGTTCCTGAGACTTTTCTCTCTGCTTTTGTGAACATCCCAAAGGTTTCCGCTGTATAAGTTAGCCAAACACGCTAGCACAAATGAACCAAAGGTTTCCATAACAACGCACGATGGAACTTCCGAACAATAGGATTCGTATAAAAGCAAATCTGTGTAGCGGAGTGCCCACCTGTGTACGGAAGTCCTTTCCACAGGCTTAGGTGGGGTAAGATGCTACCCCACGCTGAGCTTGGTAATGTACCACCCGCCTTTAGAAACCTGCTTCCACTCTGAAATGTAGGGCAAAATCTCACTTTCGGGAGAGCTAAGCACAATAAATAATTAATGGCAATAAGCACCCTGCTAATATAAATGCAAATGCTGATCATTGAGCCTGCTCAATTTACATGCAAATGTCTTTTTAAAAATCTATCAATAGTCGAAAATCAATAGTGTTAGTGATGAGAAAGTGATTTCCAAAGGGTTTTTTTTTTTTATAACAACAAAAAAAAAATCAGTAAAAGCAGTTGTTCTGGCTCCCACATCCCCTAAGGCCACAGCCCAGGTTTGGGAATCAGAATCTTCAAGTAGATGCTGATTCATTCTACGACCTCGGGCAGTACATCTGTGTCCTTGTTTCCCCAGGAAAGCAGCAAAGAATGTCCAGAGGCAGGGAAACTTAGAGGTCATCTAGACCTGAGCAGATGGGGGACACCCTGTGCCAGTGTACTTCCAGGGAAAGGATCCCGCAAGGGCCAACTAGTTACAGTCTTCTGTCCTCCCAGTTCCGAGAAACCTGTTTTCTTTATCTGAGGTTGACAGACAAAATCCACTACTCATCTCCCCAAAGAAATGTCTGTGTGGATTCATCAGTTTGCACCACTTTACATAACAAAGGGGTCAAGTCAGGACACAAGCCGCATGCTGACTCTTTGACCATGAAGCTAGAATGATGGAGGATTAGCTGTGTGGTGTGTTCTGCGATAAGTCATTCCTTTATTGTATGATCAAGACAGAGCAGCTATTATCAGTTCATTTCTGTTAAGTATTGCAGGGTGCTAGGCACATCTTAGCACCGATAAATGGCATAGTCAGCTTTTACCTCACTCCTCAGATAAAGACACTTAGACTGAGCCAGCATACAGAAATCTCACAATGGACTGATAGTCTTCATTCTGGTTAAGAAATTTCAATTTCAGAATACATACATACATACACACACACACACACACACACACACACACAGGCATATATATACAAATGTGCACATGCCCACACCTCCATAAAGCTTCAAACTTAAAATGAAGCTCTGCCTCCATGGTTAGAAATGAAGACAATTCTCTGTGGAACAAAACTCTAACCCCAAGAATGAAAATGAAGACAGGTTTCTATGGAATCTGTTGCTGAGAGTCAGAAGGTCAACCGATATCATCAGACGAGACCTTGGAGCCACACTATGTGAAACTGGTGATTTTCACTTTAACACACATGGAGCTTACGTTTATAACTGGGAGTTAGCAATGCACTTCAGAAATGGAGCTGCCTTCCAGAGCTTTGGAAGAGACAGACGTCCACCTACCCTTCAATTCAGATTGCATGTTTGGGTTGACAGGTCTTTAAGTGGAGCCCGTTGTAAGGAAGTCAACTGTAGGGTTGCTGGGGGGAAAAGCTGCAGATATGTCAGAGAGCTGAAATGCTGGACAAAAATCCAGAGATCACCACTTGGTAGAAACTGTCACCTGTATCAATATGGAGAGGGATTAAAACAATTGTGCCCAATATAAAATCCTACCAATGCATTCAGTCAGGAGTTGCCTGGGCTGATGCTCCAACTGAGAATTCCTTGTCCAGTGGGGCATTCTAGAAAGTCTGTGACCTGCGATGAAGACAAAACACAGACTAGAGGCACTCAGTGTTTTAGGCAAAGCACCTCTCCATTTATTTATTTACTTAGAGTGCCTCTTGCTTCATCCTTCCCCTGACTCAGTGTGATAGTGTACGTTTACTTAACAACAGTTGGTGGTTCTCGAAAACACTCTCTGAAGGGTCAGTGCATAGTGTATAAGGTACTTCATAGACTCTTACCCCACTGCTCTCCAGGATAGGAATGGCATTAAGAGCCAAGATGGCAAACTCTTCCTTAGGCATTAGAAGCATCGTGGAGCGTATCCACCCAAAGACCAAGGTTCCTGCTTCTGAAATATGACATCAGGACAGAAGCCTTTAAAAGTTTCCCAACTCCCCTTGCAGATAATCCATGCCTTTGCTTCTCTACCAAGGCCAAACAGTTCCATAAAGTATTATTTCCTGCTAAAAAGACAGAGACTGAATCATTAGCCCAACAACTAATGCCCCTTCTGATAAACAGAAGCCCTTCTCTCCCAAGAGAGTATTGGCTTCCCCACTGAAGGGCACCTTAAGTCTCAGCTTCAGTAGTGTACTGAAATCACCTGTGTCTTACCCCAGTTGTAAGGGAGAAAAGATCAGGAAAAGGGCCCTGGTGATTTCCTGATTATGGTCAAACCTGAGAAACAAATGGTCATTATGGTGTTTGCCGGATGCAGTCCTCTGAGCAAAACAGTCACCATCTTAACCAGATCCACCCTGCCTGCTTGCAAGACACCATCATAAGTTGTCTCGTTGACAGCTGACTTCCCTCAGAGAATGAGGGGGTAGAGGAGATCACCAGCCCCTCCCCTGAGATCCTTGCACTCTCCCCGGCACATCCCATCCATTTGTTTCTTTCCTAATTCCAACTGGCCTTGGTGGTCTCAGAGGTACTAACAGATACAGGCAGGGAAAGGTTAACTGCGAGGGGAGCCTCACCCATGCCATAGCCATCACCCGCCCCGGGTGATGACCTCCCAGTGTGGCTGTAAGCAGTTCCTCACCCAAGTTCTCTAAGTCAGCCTAATAAACTCACTAGATTCCCAGAATGACTTTGGGGGAACTGTACCTGGGTTTGTTATTGAGCCCCTAAAGAGGAAGGATGGATACTGTTTCCATATCTCAAGGAAGGAATTCTCCAAACAATGACTAGCAATGACCTGAGATTACACCAATCACTACAGGTGCCCAGTAACCACATCCCTGTCAACATCACCTGATGTCTCTGAGCCAACCATCTCCACTCACTTGAGAACCCCAGCTTTAATACTATACTTCCTTCTCTTATGAGGGACCCTATCCAGACAATGAAATAATAGATATTACCACGATCCAGATGATCCACTCTCTCTCCCTTATCTCTGACAGGGGTTATCTTTAATAAAAACTGGAAGGATTCTCTTTTCTCTCCTGTCAGTTGGGTCTGAGCAATGGAGGATGTTTACATGAGATTAGAAACTGTGAGAATGGAGAGGTTACAGCATCGTTCTTAAGTTACCTTTTAATTTGTCCCTGAAGCAACCCTCTTCCAAACTTCAGGTACTGTTAGATATTGTCCCTGTCAGGTGTAGGGGATCTCTGGGGGCTAGAGACATTGCCTCATGTGGAGGTTTGAAAGGAAATGGCCTCTAAAGAAAGGGGCACTATTAGGAAGAGTGGCCTTCTTGGAGAAAATATATTGCTGTAGGAGCTGGCTTTGAGATCTCTTTGGCTCAAGCTTCCCTCAGTGAGACAGTCAGTTGACTTCCTGTTGCCTGTAAGATGTAGCACTCTCAGCTCCAGCACTGCACGCTGCCTGCAGGCTGCCATGCTCCCCATCCTGATGATAATAGACTGAACCTCTGAAACTGTATGAGATCCACCCCAATTAAATGTTTTCTTTATAAGAGTTGCCATGGTCATAGTGTCTCTTCACAACAATAAAAACTCTAAGACACCTCCCTTGTCTTAAGTTTAGTGGCAGCTGCAGTACTCCCCAGTTCCTCACCTGAATGCTGCAGTAGTCCTGCTTTCTGGAACCCTGCCCTCAATGGAAAGACTCTTATCAAATAATCCTCATATTTCCCACTTTGAGGTTGCCATCTGTTTCCTGACAGGACCATGATAGATGCACCCTGTCTTTGGGCGGGGGTGGGGACAAGGTTTTCCATTTTGTAACCTCTCTGGAGGCAGATGGAGTAGAGGAAGGACAGTTCCCTCAGGGACAGGGATGCTGAGCAACAGATGTCCAAGAAAGGCTTAAAAGGCCAACGGGTACCAGCAACATGAGTGCCCTCAACGCGGCATATTGATTCACAGACGGTGGCTGCTCAGAATTAGAGAAAGTGTTGGAAACACTCATAGCAATTTCCTGATGTTGCAAAATTGACTTCTGAAAGAAAATTGACAGCCCAGGAGAAATTGCACGCTTTTAAAGACTTCATCCTTGCAGACAGTCTGAGTAGCCCATGGGGAAAGCCAAATATAAACATGATAGGGAAATCTTAACACACTCCTTTCTTTTGCGATGCTGAGTTAGAAGTACATGGTTTAGATAATACAAATAAAAGTCAGTGTGCTTTGTGGACTTGGTGTGTTTATAATATATCACTCCCTGCTTAACCATCACAATCAGTCAGAGAATAAGGGGCATCACAGCAAACCAAAACTGGACTAGGGCACAGTTAGCAGGTGGCAGATCCTTGCAGCATTCAGTACATGACACCAGATTTTCTATAATGCCTCTCCACTCAAAAACTTAAATTTAAATTTTTAACAACATCAACATGACTCGAATAAATACAATCTCCCCTTGTCTCTATTTTTCTGTACTTTTCTGGTCTTCTTCCTGAGCTGGGTCAACAGACATGTTAAGTATCTCTTGCTTTATACTCTCAGCTGGACCCTCTGTTGTTTTCCTTCCAATATGTTTAGGACAGCTGGTTACATCACTTGAAATACTCTGGCAGTGTCCCTGGAAGAAGGGAACACATCTTGTTCAGACAAAAACCACGCACAGTCCAATAGCATACAATGCAGTTCTTTCATTGAGCTTCCCGTGGGCTCTGCAGAAATTTCCTGTGTGGCTTCAGAATGTTTGCCTTGCTCGGCCTCCAGTTGTCTGCTATGAACTGGGGACTTACCCGCGAGCTATAAATTCTTGTTCCATTCAGGGGGATGATGGAAACTAAGAATAAAGTTGCTTCAGAAATAAATCTGTGACCTGGATGTCATATGATAGTGCAGGTTTGTGGTGACGTGGGTGGATAGGCCATTTCTATCTTTACCTAATGAAGGGGAAGCATGTGAGGGAGAGGCACATCTCTGTCACCATTCCTGAGTGGACAAGAATGCACAAAACAATGGGCAGTGGAATTGCCAACCAATCTGTCTGTCATCAGAATTCACATCCCTTGAATTCCATCCCAATGACATCATAATCACCTCACTAGCAAGTGGGTATTTCTTGATACGTCTCCAATGAGGAGGTTGAAATTCATCAATGGAGTTGCCCAGAGTAGTATAATATATATTTGGGTCGTTAGCTTTCTTTCCCATGCACAGAGAAATACTTGGGTTTTATCATGCTAGGATCTATTTTACTTGCTAAGGATCTTTGCTAAACTGGGTTCTCATATGGAAAGCAGCCACTACACAAAATTTCTTAGCCCTCTTGAGCTGTCTTTTTATATTTGAAGGATAAGATAGAGAGAAAGCTGGGTGGAGAAATGATTAAGCGTATCGTTCGAGGCCACTTTGCCTAAGTTGAATCACAGCTTAAGAATCCCCAGCTGGAAAACCCTGGGAATATTCATCAGTCTCTCTGTTCTCAAGCAGTCTTGTCTGTGAAGTAAAAATCATAACAGAGGACACCCACAGCCTAGAGAGATGACTCAGTGGGCAAAGTAGGTTGCTGTTAAGGCAGTGGTCTGAGCCTGATACCTGGGACCCATGGAGCAGAGAGAGAAAACTGACTCTGGCAAGTTGTCCTCTGACTTCGACCCATAATGACACCCATGCACATACAAGCCAATAAAAAAATAATTTTAAAATATCCTTTTAAAGGCTTCAATGAAAAGTCTTTATTATATACAAAATTCTTAATGTCTAGCCTGTGCTAAGTATTGGATCAGTATCACCTAACCTAAGCCTCCCTCAGATCCTTTTCGGGAAGAAATGACTATACTTTTCTAAAATTAATGAAATAAATTTATCTCTTAAAAAAAAATTATAGATTAGTGTGAGGTCCACACCAACAGAAAAGAAGTAAGACAGCCACAAGTTCAAAGCCAGAGTTAAGTGTATCATAAGTTTCAGGCCAGCTGGGCTACAAATAAGACCTTGTCTCAAGAGAAAGAAACAGAAAACTATAGAAAATTTGGTGATCTCTGGTATTTTCTTCCAGAGAACAAAACGAAACGAGCAAGATAAGCATAGGTAAAACAGGGGGACTTTTACCTAATGTCGTTGAACTGAAAATTCATTCTCTACAGAAGAAACTAGGCCCTGTGGCAGTAGGGTGGAGACATTAATCATGTCTATGGATCAACAGAAGTGATGGGAAACAATCCACCACCATCTAGCATGCACTTACCTCACTCTGGAGCAATATAGAGATCTCAATCTCCTTTACTAATATGCTGAGATGGCCACCTTTCTTTATTCTCTTCTGGAATCATTCAGGATTTGAGATTTCCAGCACCCTAGTCATCTCCTAAGTTAAAAATAAAAGGCAAGTATTTTTAAAAACCAACCTAACCTCTGCCTTGTTAATCTCGCTATTCTAAATAAGAGATTTCACGGGACTCTTGATCAAAATCATAAACAAAAGTTAATTTTAATGAATCTGAGACTAAAACACATATTAGTCTATAAAACTTTTAGTAACTAGGAGGAAAAAAATCTTCCAGAATTTTCCAGAACAAACTCTCAGCTGGGCCTAGCAGGCACAAGACCCCAGTTTTGGTTGTGGAAAAAAAAAACAGGAAAGGAAAATTTTGACTCAATACCAAAAATACGGTCAATAAAAAGAAGAAATAAATTGAGCATCATCAAAATTTCAGACTTTTGCTCTAGACCATTAAGAGAGTGAGCAGAAATTACAAACCATGTTCTACAAATTGTGCCTTAATGACTCTTGGAATTCAACAACAACCACCAAAAAAAGCCTCCAATAAAAAAGAAAAAGTAGATGATTTGAATAGATAATTCACTAAGAAAAGGTAAACAAACAGCAATTAAGCCCATGGAAACAGGCTGGACATTTTTGGCTACTTGAGTAATGCCAGTTCTTGTGGGTGAGAGGAGGATCCACAAGAGACAAAGAAGGGACAGGAAAGGGTATTAAAGGTTGTGTTAGGAATGTGTAGATCCATTCATGGGTTAAAAACCATAATGACCCCCACTGTGTCGGTTAAGCTTCTCAATGCTGTAACAAAACACCTGGCAGAGTCAATTTGAGGATTAGCTCCAGGGGACAGTCCATCATTGTGGGAAGTCATCATCGTGACAGAGCCCGTGGACGTGGATTCATTCCACCTTGACCAAAGGTCAAAGAGTTCAGGCCTATTCTTGCTCCTTCAAGATTATTGACAGGAGGTTTGACACAAGGTGTGGCTACTAACAGGATGTTTTGACCCAGACTGTGGTAGCTTCTTAATGCTTGGGGTATTGAGAAGGTGATTACTTTGTTTGTTCCTTGTATCTTGGTCAAGAAGTCTTTTGTCTTCCCGCTCCTCTCTGGATTGGGGTATATAAAGCCTATGAGAAATAAACTCAGGCAGATTCAGGATTCACTGGGTTGCCCTCCTGACTCTATCCTATATCTGCTATTTTGTATCTTGGTTTCTTCTATCTGCCATTTCTTAATCCTCACACTGTCTTCCAAACCCAGACAAACAAACCGGGTGGGACTTGACTGATGGTGTCATCCAGACACAGGATAAGTCATCATCACAGCAGGATTGGGAGGCAGCTGGTCACATTGCACCCACAGTCAGGAAACAGACAGAGGCTAATGCTCAACTCACTTTCTCCTTTTTAGTCAATGTAGGACCACAGCATGGAGAATGGAGCTGCTCATAGGACCACAGCATGGAGAATGGAGCTGCCCATATTTAGGTAAATTATTCTACCTTATTAAACCAAGTCTAGAAACTTCCTCAAAGATGTACCTTGAGTGATTCTAAATCCTGTCAAGATGAGAGTTTCAACCATCACATGCCCATTGCTGTATACACCAACTAAATGTATTAATTTAAAACATTGAAATAAAACACATGGGAGTAAGGCAATAATAAGACATAGGCAAAGATTGCAGCAACATACATAGTGTATGAGTGTGTGTGTGAGTGTGTGTGTGTTATAGTATGGTAGGCAGAAAAACTTTCAATAAAAAAATCAATAGCTGAGCAAGTTTGATCTCAGACTATTACAAACAAGCCTATTTGAATGACTGGAATAAAACGTCGTGGCACTAGCCAATACTAAAAGCTAGCAAGGATGTGAAGAAACTACATCCCTTACATATACTTATGTATTGCTGGAATAGAAGATGATACCACTCTCTGGAAGAGTGTGGCTATTTCTTCTAGAACTAAAAATAGATGTGTTGTCCCATCCAGCAGGTTCACTCTTGGCTGCTTATTCTACAGAATCCAAACTTACTTCCATGAAGAAAATTGTTTAATATGATGCCACCAGTGAAAAGTAATATTAATTTATCATTAAAATAGAGAAGGATGATAACTAGGCAGAATTAGATTTAAAATGGTACTAAAACGATGTCAAGTTTTAGAAACCAAAACTACAGAGTAGACTGAGAGTTTGCAGGGAACGACCAGAAGGATTAAAGCTATAGGCAAGCAAGATTAATGAGCATGGTGGTTTATCCCCCCAAGTGTATACACTCATGCACAATAATAGTCACATAATTTATTTTTAATTAAACAGATTGTTTATAAGAAAGAAGAAGAAAAGAAAACCAGGAACTACACAGTCATTGCCTATGCACCAGATTCATTGAGGAAGTAAAGACAGAGACCTTAAAGCAAAGGAATAAATAGGAACAGAAACAGAGGGCTCCAAGAGAAATAGGGCTGAAGTTTTTAGTGTACCATATCAAAACCAAGACAGCAGTGGAGAGAGAAGCAATTTAGAGCCTGGGTAGGAGACCCAAAGAAGGTAGGACCAGAAAGAAGACAAAGACAGGAGGACAAACCAAAACAACACGCTGAATATCTGGAAAGAACTAACTCTGTTTGGTGTCTGCGGTGGTTTTAATAGGAATGACCCCAATGGGCTCATAGACCTATGTGGATGGCATTAGGGAATGGATATTTGAGAAGGATTAGGAGATGTGGCCTCATGAGAGTAGGTGTGACCTTGTTGAAAGAAGTGTGACAATGGGGGACAGGCTTTGGGGATTCAAAAGCTCAAGCCAGGCCCAGTGTCTTGTCTCTCTTCCTGCTGCCTGTGGATCTGGATGTAGAAACTCTCAAGCTGCTGCTCCAGCACCATCTGGCTGTGCTTCTGGCTGTGATGACAACGAACTAAACCTCTGGAACTATAAGCAAACCCCAATTAAGTGCTTTCCTTTATAGTAATTGCTGTGGTTATGGTGTCTCTTCACAGCAATAGAATGCTGACTAAGACGACATCACAGGATTATCACAGCAAATCGAATATCCAAGCTTCTAACATAAATAATTGGAAGAGATAATAATATCCTTTGATAATGCAATTCATTCTTTTTTATTTATTTTGATTTCCACATGAAAGTCCACAGAGGACCTTTTAAAACCAAGCACTTAATTACTCCTTCCATATGAATCAAGGGGATGAAGGCACAAATTCAGAGGCAAAGAGCATCATTTTGACAAGATTAACCATCTAAACACACTTCAGGCTGCTATTCCCACCAAACGCTATTCTCAGAACACCCAGGTTTACTTACTGAATGCTGAGGTGATTTGAGAATGATATGTTCCAAGGCAAAACTGTATCCCAATAGAAAATGAAAATACAAGATGGAGCCTGAACTTCTGTGACCTAGATTTCGACCAAGTAAGTTACCTCTCCGAGATTGCGTTTCTCCATCCATAAAATGGGAATAGCAAAATCCACTATAAAGAACAACACAGGCATCTCATGAAATATTCTGGGAAAGGCATTAATTACATGCATGGCATGTTACAGGTGTTTTATGAATATTAATTATTATTACTGTTACGTGTAATTACCTAAACCAAGTGAGAAAACAGAAATACAAGATGATGATCAACAGAAGTGTGTGTGTATGTGTTTGTGTGGTGGGGGGATAAATCACTTCTTTCCAAGTGAGAA